ATAGCAGGTGGTGCTATAGCTCCTAGATTAGTGGTAAAGTTAAGTGACACTAGCCCAACACGGGTCCTGCTTGAACTTAGCTCTAGCAAATACCATTAGTCCCCCACTCCCATAAATCCCATTTAAAAAGAAGTTACAAAACCACTTCCAAGTTCCAAAATTACAGTGAGGAAATCAGCTATTCTACAATGTACTGGTTCAGAGCCAAACTGGACATCTGAGAAATAATTGCTGTTTGTTGCCATCACAAACAGAAGAGTTTTTACAGGAATAAGAACATTTATTGGTCAGCTTTGATTAACTGCTGCACACAGCCAAGAATATTAGATACTGGACTTTACTTATTCTTCCTTCTAGTTACAAGCAACTTGAACCTACCATAAGCTTACCCAACAACAGCAAGTCTAAGAACCAGGCAAGTGTGTTTCATGCTCATTTTAGGAAAAGACTTCTCATGCCATCAGCATCAAATGAGTTAACAATGCCCACACTGAGACCTTGATTTTTTTGGTATGTTGGCTTGAGGGTTTCAGTCTATCCAAGACCTTAAAGCAGTCCCCATTCATTCCAATTACACTCTGAAAAATGAGACTACTGATTTATAATTGCCAGCCTCTGAGGGACATTTAAGGAAAGCTAAATGAATTATAGTCCTAGCAGTATATCCAGATTTAAGGGCCCTTAATTTAATTTTCACTATGTTGGGCACAGACAGCAAGCCAAAGCCTGTCCCAGTGATGGGCAGAATCACTCCTGTCAAACTTTGGATTAAGTCAGCAAAAGCACTTGAGAGTGAACACCGAAATGCTAAAAGAGAAGCACATATTATAAACTCTCTTGTCAGACACAAATGCTTTTCCAATGTAGACAAGGAGAAGTTTTTAATTCGGTGGTTATGCCTCATAATTTCAACTTGACTGAATGAACTAAGTAGGTGTATAACACACTGGTCCCATGTCACACACAAGATACTGTGACCTCAAAACAACCTGTATTTTTTCTAACCTCTGGAAAAGGGATTTCAGAAGTCAAGAAGCTAATAAGAACTTACACACTGCTTAACACCAGGTCATGGTCAGTTTGTTTTCAGTTAGCTGTCTACTAACAAGCATAGCTGGGCACAGGGCTGAGGTTTCATCCTGGAGCTTCCTGTTTTTCCTGGAGCGAAGGTCCCTCGAGAGGCAGCAACTTCCTCCTTTGTGTTTGTGCAGCACAGACAACAAACAGTCCTGACTGGGTCTCCTGGTGCCTGTTCTAAGTGCCTGCAAACACCTCGAAGCTCAGCAGAGCCTCCCAGTGCCACAGAGATGGACTAGAATGAAACAGCCTAGAGAAAAATGAGTAAGGCAAGGAGCCACATCCCCTCGAGCCAATTAGTCTTTCTACAAAAGCACAAGCAAAGAACAGCAAAAGTTATTTTCTACAGAAACACTGGAATCAGCAACACTATTCCAATGAGCAACTTACACAGAGCACCTGGAGTCACACTTTTGGAAGCTCACAGGTGATGTTATGCTCATACACCTCCAAGGCTCTGATCCAGAACCCCCAGGAATTCATCACACCATAGACCAAGGCAAAGAGATGAGTATTACCAGAGGGAGCATCATTTTCCCAGTCACACAAAGCCACTGCACCAACCAGGACAGGGTAAAAAGTATCTTCTGTCCATCCGATGAGGATAAATCAGACTCTATAGATAAACCCTTCATTCTATGCTGTAGCTTCATCCATCCAACATTGGTATCTTCCTACTTCTTCCACCAACTATTCCTCTAACAAACCTGAGTGCCAACTTCAGTATCAACAGCTGAACCTCTTCTAAAGGGACCCACTGAAATTAATTTCTACCTGTAGAATTCAATACCTCAATGACAACTGCACAATAAGATCAGTTTCTCTCTGGAAGTCTTGTCTGTCTCTGGGTTTTCTTTCCATTATTGCTTTGGCTACAGAACCTGTTATACAGGGCAACTATGGTATGGAGATCATCTTCAGAGTTTAGAGACATTTTAGCCTTTTAAATTAATTGCAAACCTCACTTACTTTGACATAACACCTCACTCTTATGAAGCCTTTGCACAAGTAGAAAGAGGTGCAAGGTTTCTCTTGGTATGAAGACAAGAACAGCTGAGCCTACACAAGTTACTTTCACTAGTGAAACGTAGCATCCAAACCCCTTAGACATGTGGGCAGTCCATTTATAACACATCTATCTGCAGGGAACATTTCTTCTCTCTGACCAATACTTCCCCCAAATGGTAAATGTTTCCTCTTTATTGAGGAAGAGCTAACAGAAAGGCTTGAGAACAACATTCTGGTTGAGCTGTTTAACACAAAGAATTACCAAAGGTGGGAGGAAGGAGATGCTTGGCTAAGCAAAAATATGTTTCACATCTTGAATTTTCCCCTCCCTCATTTGGAGGAATAATTTCTTCCTACAGTTTGGAGAAATAATGCTTTGAAGGCTTAGTAATAGGGTCTGATAGACAAGTGCCATGAGAGACAGACGTGGGGCAGGGAACAATTAGCTGAACTGAGTCTAACATGACTATAGGTGCTACTTAGCTCCTAGGACTAGGAGCCCCTTCTTTGCAAGACCCCTCTACTGCAGCAAGGAGAATTTATTCACTGATACCAACATGATAATCTCCATCTTGCTGCTCACACACTCACTGTATCCTTGGCTTATCATCACTGCAGTCAGAGCTCAGGTCTCTCATTCAGCAGCTTAGAAATGCAAATAGATTTAAAATACCAGTTATTTAAGTGCAGTGCATAGGAAAGAGATCACTATAGCTATAAATTCCCCTCAGCAGTCCTGGAATGTAATCAAGACTATATGACAACATAAGAGCATGACTGATTTCTGCTTCTGTCACCTCCTCTTGCTTACTCATTAGTTCATCCATGTGTGTATGTGCAGAACATAAGACTTGACAGGTGAAGTGATTAACACAAGGTAATGACATCCCTGGAGAATTCATGCTTATAATTCCCTGCAATTATCCCACAATAACTAATAACTCCTCTTATTTTTAGTATTTAACATGCTCACAATGTGGAGTAAGTGAAGACAGCTGGGGAGATACATGCACTTGAGGCTGATGATTCTGCAATGC